TAGAAGGTCAATCATTTGCTGAGATTGTGGAAATTCTACATAATCAATTATCTCCAAAGCTACCAGTGGTTTCAGAATGTTTTCTCTTGAGCAGACAAAATCAAAAAGAAAAAATAATTTTATTCACATTTGTGGAGTGGCTGAATTAAGAAAGTTAACAGAGCACTTGCAGTTAGGAGAAAGATTAAATGATGCAATAAGAAAACTGGTTAGTTTTTGATATGCAAAAAAAAGTAATCCAATAACCATAACTGACTGAAGTTGATTTGATCCTAAAACATGTAGGAGAACTTTCTGCTTCAGTGGAGACCGCTACTAAAGATGACAGAGTTAAGAGAATTATGAAATCTATGCAACAAATAAAAGCAGGAACAACACAACCTGAAGGCCACTTTAAGATTGTGTTTTCATTTTGAGGAACAGTCTTGCATGCTAGTAGTTGTCTATTTTCAAGGACACATTTTGTTAAAAAGTGCAAGAAATTGGGACACAGACAAAAGATATATGTGGCAGCGAGGAGCCCCTACAGGTACCAAGGGGGCTAGGGGTAACCCTGAGCACCCCCGCAGTAAATAAACAGGCCCCCCACACCCCGGCAGACTTACCTCCGGGAGCGGGACCTGAGACAGAGACGGAGCCGTGGCCACAGCCGCAGCCACGCGAACCAGCGTTATGCCGGCTCTTCAAACAGCTGATCCATGGGCAGGGCGGCACCCAGCTGATTGCGGTAGCTGATGCCGCTGCCATGGGAAACTTAAAAGCCCAGCCAGAAACCAGCAAGAGAGGAAGGTGGGGAGGAAGTGTGAGCCTGCGAGGAGCATGCAGGTAAGGAGGCCCCAGCAGCTCCACAGGGTATTGAGAACAGCCAAGAACACTGCCCCACTACTAAGGGGGGGGGGGGCAGTGTCAGGCATTAGGCTGGGGACAGACTATCCCCAGCCCAGCAACCTTAAGAGTTTATTGGGAGTGTCCCTCTCCCATGGAGGGGAGAGAAGGATGCTGAGCTTGGGATCAGGGTCTGTGGCTCCAGCAAAAATAACATCTGGGCGACCAGCCAGTGGTCTGAAGCAGACGCCAGACCACCAGAGCAAAGGGGCTCACAGAGATCAGCGGAGCAACTGGCAGAACATCCAAATGGTTGGCAAGTGGACGGGGTGTAGGGGAGGTGGAGCCCCGAAGAACACCACAGCATGAATGCGAGTGCCTCTGTCATCGAGTGACCCGGGAAAAGGAATACCACTGAATGCCTCTTTTCATCCAGTAATGGCAAGTCATGGCAGGCAAGTTAGGGGGCGCCCCGGTACTCACAGCACCCACTAGAGATGCCACAATATACAAAGACACCACCTTATGAATGCAAGGTACAAAAAAAGAAAAGTAAGACTGTCACCTTACCAAGACAATACCAGAGGATTTCAGATTAATCAGTTTGCATACAACAACATGGAGCACACAAAAAATATTGTAGCACCTCAAAAACTATTTATCGGAATCTCTGGATTCCTTAACAAATAGAAGAAATACGACTTAACACGGAGCAGATGCAAGATCTGCTGTTTTTCATAATTTCACTGCAGTATTATCAGAATCTCAGTGCTTTTAAAAATAAACATACGAGGAATCTTTGGCCCCCTAAATATTGTTACTAGGGCTGTGCAAAGCAGGCCCTATTCAATTCGGATTTGGATTACTGTCCCTGATTTGATTCAGCCGAATCCAAATCTGAAGATTTGATGCTGATTTGGAGAATCAGCGATTCAGACACAGACACAGCTTTAAATGTTTCTTCTACATACCTTGAGGTACCAGCATGGCTTGTGAACACTGCGATGCTGGGCCATATGGAGTACAGGGGGGCCCTCCACATGGTCATTGGCAAACCTGGGAGTGGACCAGATATACTTCCAGTGCACTTCCAGGTCCACCAGGGAGTGTGCGGAGGGCCCCCCTATATCCCTCCTCTGGCTCAGCAATCATGCCCCCCAACCCAGAAAGCACCAGTAGCCGAACTGAAGGGACATGCCCCTCCCCCCCCGCCCGCACACTCCCCGGCAGACCCAGAAGTGGACTGGATGTGTTTCTGGTCCACTTCCAGGTCTGCTGCCGAGCACACTGGGGAGCCCCCTGCGCTTCTGTGAGACACTCCATGTACCCCAGCATCGCAGCATTCATGAGCCACCTGCTACCTAGAGGTATGTAGAAAAAACATGTAAAGCTGTGTCTATGTCCAAATCACTGAATATTTCCAAATCAATTCACAGGGTTCTGATTCAATTAGGAGAGATTAAAGGGTCCTCTGATTTGATTCAGATTTGGAGATTCGGCCACTGAATCAGGCCAGATCAAATCAGGGACCAAAGCTTCACACAGCCCTAATTGTTATGAAGAAGGTAATATTAAGTATATGATGTTTGCAGTAATCTCTGTTATAAAGCAAGAGGGTCTTGTATTACTTGGTAAAAAATAGCTGAGAAAGATTCAACTGGATGGGAAATCATAATGTATCTGCAAGCTTCAAAAATTATGAACTTCAGCCCAAAACAATCATTAAATGAACATTTGGGCAAGATGACTGATGTCTTTCAGGAAAGTATCAGAACTTTAACACATGTGAAAGCAGAAGATAGGGTAGGGTGGCACCTTAGAAACTAACAGGTTCAGAGAGGCCTAAGATTTCATAGGTAATAACTTACTTTGTCAGATGCTAACAACAAAGTAGGTTGTTGTTTGCAAAGGCTCATATCTCCAAACAGTAGCCTCTTCTACGTTCTGCCCAAATTTCAGACTAATACAGCTAACTATCTCTCTGCATAGAAAAAAAAGCAAAAGTCTTCTCTAGTCATTTTGTTTGGTGGCCAGGAATTGATAAAAGTAGTTAAAGTATGCTGAGGTTGCAAGTAAACACCATACATGACTAAATATGTTACATTCTTAGGAGTAGCAAGCCACCGCACAGCCTGACACAGAATTGAACATTTTAAGAGGCATATGTTTTTTAATGCAGTAGACAAGTTAAATGGCCTGAAGTATTCAATATAAATTGAACTAGCTCAGTCCAGATGGTGGAAATGCTAAAGCTCTTGTTCGCAAGAAGAGAGCTCCTGAATAGAGTTCCAGATGCTTGTTAAAATAAATGGTATCAAACATGACTGTTCAGCTCCTCACCATCTTGCAACAACTGGATTAATGGGAAAATGTATTTGAACATTCAGACCAGCAATTCATTATATAACCACAGGTAGAGGTAACTCACAACCAAATACTGTTAATTTTCTATCCATCTGTAGAGACGTAGTGAAAGCCAGATATACAGAGGGAGATGTGAAAGAGAGAGTGATTAAATACCCATAAATAGGTCACAAGCAACTATACAGTTTTTACTTGGGAAAATTGTCTTAATAACAGGCTACCAAGATAAGGGATGGAAAACTGGAGTGATGATGTCATAGACAAATCATCTGCATCTAGACCTCCCCTCCACCAACTGAGGAGTAGTTCAGATTCAGTTTCTAGAACTGAAATTCCTTACTAAATTTTGTGTGTTTGTGCACACATTTCAGAGGGGGACAAATTAAAATTAAAGCAATAGAAATAACTTTTACATTTCACTATTTTAAGCCAATCCTATGATCTTGGGCATTCCAACTTTTGACTTCCAAATGCTTGCGGTCAGCTGTAGTGTACTGGGCACTTTTAATCATCAGAATATTATTAATAAGTACAAGAGTTTGCACTATGTATTCACAAAACATAAATAAGATGGTAAGATGCTAAAGGGAAACCAGGAAGACACAGAAGTTTAAAGAACAAATAGCTAATGATATTAAAAAGTTTTCTGTTTAAAAACACAAGAAGCAAGAAGCCTGTGGAGAGTGGGAAGTCCACAATCAAAAATGATAAGAGGATTGCAGAAAAGCTAACTGACTTTTTTGTGCATCTGTTTTTGCTCAAGAAAGTAATGGCTACCTTGGGGATTTACTCTGTGGGTAGTAAAATTGAGGCACTGTCAAAGATAGAGGTATAAAAAAAGAAGTGTTAAACTAAGTGAAGAAATCAAACCTGACAAATTAACTTGCAATAAATTCCCCAAACCAGTTTGTACTTTGTGGTAGTTTTATAGAAATGATCAAAGAACAAAAAGTAACAAAAATAAAATTTGTTATTAAAAACTGCTACTGTACCAGAGGACAGAATGGTATTCAACTTTGTAGTCATGTTTTTAAAAGATTCTAGTCAGCATGATCCCTGGAATTGTAGAACAAAGGTTCACTACCAGAAAAATCACTGAGATGATTAAATATAAGAAAAAAAAGCACACAGATGTGTAATAACAAAAAGGACAAATCAGCAGAGCTTCTGTAGAAGTAAATCATGTCTCCTTAATCTCTAAGAATTGTACGTGGTTTAACAAAATAGAAGATAATAGAGAAATGGTTCGTATAATTTATTTTGACTTTCAAAAGGTTTTTGATAATGTTCGACACAAGGTTATTAAGGATGCTTAGTTACCACTAAGTCAGTGGGGAAGTTCTGTCAAGGATTCAAAGCTGATTAAGTTATAGGAACCAGAGATGGTTAACTCTCTGGCTACGAGAGGTCAAGAGGGAATGAGTTGGAGCACCATACTGTGATAGATATGCCATTATGTTTCTGGAAGAGCTAAATAGTAAGATGTCAACATTTGTTGATAACATCAAATTATTTAGGTTAGACATTATTAGGAAAGATTATGAGGAACTTCAGGAGCATGTAATAGAACTAGGTAATAAAATGTCAGATTAAATTCAATTTAGGCAAGGACAGAACAAAGAAAATGTAAATCACTTGGACATGCTGGATTCTAAATTAGTTCCAAAGAAAATTGCATGATTCTATATGTGAAAAATAGTACAGCAATAATATAATTGAAGGCACAGAATAAGCATAAGGGGAAGTGTTCCTGTGCAGTTGCACATTCAGTTTACATTTTTGCATTTCCTGATTTCAGAGTATACACTGACCTGATTGTGCAAGCTGTTTCAGCTGGGTGCACCCCCATTTGATCAGGAGTACTTGGGACTGGGGTAGTCACAAAGGTCACTTAGCAGCATTCTGGCCCATACCTCCAAACTTAAAGCCATGTCATTTGTTATAACTTAATGTAACATTTTTCCTAAGAAGAAAAGAAAAAGAGAAATCCCAGTTATATTAAGGTTGTAGAGCTTAATGAGCTCCCTCTCCCTTTAGCAAACCAATACATTTAATTAAAAATGTCCTTTATGGTCTCTCAGAATTAAACAGAGAACTGACTACTGCCTAGATAAAGCTTTCAGTGCACAATCAGTTTCTGAATCAAAAACTTTTTGCTTAGAAAACTTTCTACATTTGAAGTGTTCCCTGTAGACAATACCCATTATGCTACCTACCTTTAATACTTCATAGAGTCATAGGATTCAACCTCTGGAAAACAAGCTAATAAAAAAGCAAGCTAATAAACATTTCTGATATACATAGTTTTAATCCTTTACAAGGAAGGACAAGGCCTAGTCCTTAATGATGACTGCAAATGCAAAGACTAAATGTAAAGTGGCAGGAACAGAAACTCATCTTACAGGGTTACTTTGAAATAGGAAAACAACATCCTTTTTCAGTTTCCCCAGTTTATAAACACCATTGAAACAGAGATCAAACATGGAAAAATTTCACATTAAGGACAATATTATTTAATTACAAGTTCCTCCAGAAAACCATGAGGAAATTCTACAGATAATGGCAGGCACAATCTAGCTGGAAAATTTCAGAAAGCTGTCTCTCATAATGAAAATCCTGAAATAATCTTAAATATTGCTGATGCTATCAGGCATCTGCTATAATATCAGGTTGAGAGCCTTATTCTCCATTACACAAAGGACAGTTTACAAACTTAATCTGACTCTAAATTCTGTGAGAGCCTTTAGCAGTAGCCAATTTTAAACACCTATGTAACAGCATAATAAAAACACATCTCTGAATTAGACAAACTTGAAATTACTCAGTTATTAAATGAATAGGTGTTTACAGCTTATGATATTTTATGCAGAAAAATGTTGCTAAACTACACTATGTCATGCCTGCAAACTACGATAATCTAGGTAGGAGTTCATGGTCAGTAGTACAGCAACATATTACTTTAATGGTATGTAGCTATATCTATATATATTTTTAATATGGGCAAATGTTGAAGGATTTGAAAATTAATTTTAGCTAAACATGAATAATGAAACAGTATAAGATAGTTTTTAAAGCATCAGACAGTTGCTTAAGCATTCTCTTTGAATTCTCTTTTACAATTGTTGGAATATGGGACTCCTTTAAATTGTTCTCCACCTGTCATTTATTATATCAAAACTGTTTGTCATGAGCCTAACAGCTGCAAAGCTTTGCCACTCTCAGCCTCATTGCCCCAACTTTCATATATATTTTTTTTATATTCAGTACATTGAAACTGTTAATATAAAATAAAATACTATAAGGATAAATATCAAAGAAGTGATAAAGAATATTCAACTATAAGGCAGTCAAATTTCAGAATGCATGGTGTTTACACTGAGATAATTACAGCAGTACATTCATCAATCAAAACACAAACTTTGTGTGAGAAAATTATAGACACTGTACCTACACTGATCTACTGAGTCATTTTAGATGTTTTCTGTGGGTAATATCCTGAGCCCCAGAAGTCCATAGAAGAAAATGTTTTTCAATTTTTAAGTAGAACAGGAAGATGGTGCACAAGGATTCACACCATCAATGCCCATGACACATTCATTTCTCTCTTGCTGACCTGATTCATCAACAGATAACACAGGACAGGAGAGGAAGTGAGCAAAAATAATAGCAATACTATTAAGTGCTGATCTATGAAAGAACAGAGCCAGAAAGAGAAAAGGACTTGGGCATGGCTAGACTAGAAGAAATGGTTGCCTGCTTGAGAACAGCAACAAATACAAAATCACAGATAAAAAAAGAAGTTCATAAAGGTAGGGAGAGACTCTGCTGTACATAAAATATGGTCCAGGGGTGCTGAATGGGAGCTAGGATCTCTTGATTTAAGAAAGCAAGGGACTACAACATATTAGATTTCCAGGTAGACAGTAGGTACTCTGCATATTTGCAGCATGGAGCCAAATTTAGACACTGGGAAAACCTGGTATCAAAAAAAAGTGCTCAGAAAAAAACAGAACAGCACACATGGCAGCAGCATGTGCCACCCAAAACCAGAGCCTGGATGGCCAGAACCATACTCTGGCTGTTGGCCAGGCTCTGTGCACCCGGGTCACTGCCGTTGGAGCCCCAGGAGGCCTCCAGGACCCCAGGAAGGCTTCTGGGGCCAACCCAGGTGCTGGCCTCAACCTCCCCTACTGCACCCAGAGCATTCTTCCCCACGCTAACCCCACAAGCAGGGGCATGTGGTTGCTGTGGGGAAAAAAGCAGGGGCACAAATTCATGCGGCTGCTTTCTGCCCAGGCACACGTGGCTTTTAGAACCAAGAAAACATCCTGAGAGGGGCAAAAGACATGCTGTTGTCAAGGCAACCGAGGGGGAGAAGAGGTACAGATCACCCATAAAAGCTCAGGCAACAATGAAACCTGTAGGATCTCCTCCCACCTCCCAAGAATGGCAGACCCCCAGAAAACTTGTAAACACTTGGCTGTAGGGAGACACACTGTCCTCAGGGCTATACAGACTTATGCAAGATTTCTGTTGTGTCTTAACTTAACCTAAGTAGTATGTTGTTGCGTCTTTCTTAGCTTAGGCCAAGTTTTCTGTTGTTTCTCTGTTCTATGCTTGAAATTGATAATTGCTGAACCCAATAAATGCTCTCTTCAGAGAATGGACTATTTTTGTCCCAGCCATTTTCATGATTTCAGTGCCACCACCTAAAGTCTAGCACTAAGTTTAGGTAACAGAAGTCAGCTGGCTCTCTTGGGCTCATCACCCTCTGTAAATCTTAAATCAGTCCAGGGACAGACTGACTACACCATGGAGGGAAGTGTTTGGGCCAGTGTTAATCTGAAGGATCAGACTGAAATGAGGGCCCATTATCCCCCCTCTAGCACTATTCAAAATCAATTCCCTGGAATGCATGAACCAGCCTAGGGCTATAATATCCTGAGCTACTGAATCCCTTATCCCCTCTGAGCCCTGATCCTGAAGCCAAGCTTCTAGGGAGCTGTATAGGAGAAAGGTCAGAGCCAACATGGAGGCAGAGATGACATTGGGATCTCACGCATCCTATAAATTCAGTGTCTGAGGATGGGACCCCCAGGACCTTTGCTAAGAAGAGGAAAGCTCCTGATCTGACAATGAGGTATGGTGCAGAGGAATTTGGTTTCTGTGATGGGATCTTCATCAAATTAATTTTTCCCTCCAAAGTTCCCTTCTGAGGGCTTTGTAGGAAGCTGGGGTCAACTCGGCCATGCATTTAAAGAACTTACCTTTATCCTTCAAGTTTTCAACGTGAATGTACAAGTTTCTTGTGATGCTTATGTAAGAGAATAATTTGTTTCCTTAATCGAGTTAAAACTGGCCAAAAACCGAAAAGATTGCACTAAATATTTAAAATCTTTTCCTACTCACTCTTAAGTAAATAAAACAAATTCTCTCTCTACCTACCCACAAGAAACCACAAAATAAAAAATGAATTCTGTACAAATTGTTATTCATGGCTGTCAAGCAAACATTACGTGCAGAGTAGAAGAATTATGGTTATGACAATGTAACACTCAGGTGAAGACCAGTTCCTTGAAAATTTATTTACATGCTGTGTTTAGTAGCCCTGCTGATGTAGAATCAGTTAGTAAGGAATTAACTCCCTGAATGCTGGTTGTAATGGAATCAGGTTGGAAGAAAGTGCCTGTATTTCAAAGGTTACCATCCTTCTGTCATGTACAAATAACCAGGATTATTCACAGTGTAAAAAAATAAATGGTTAGCTGTTTACAGGATCAGAGCCTAACACCCCCTCTGCACATTACATTTATGCTATAATAAATGTGTTAATCATGGAATAAATAGCAAGGGTGTTACACATGCACCCAATTTAAGGCACCATAAAATGAACAGCTTCCCATATAGTCTAGCAGATAGGATTCTGGGTTTTTGACCCAGGCAGCCTGGATCTGACTCCCAATATGGAAAGTTTCAATTTTTTTATGGTCCTCCTTTAAGAAAGGGGTTGAACTAGATGAACTCTGAGGTCCCTTCCAACCCTAATTTTCTATGCTTTAATGACAAGTCATTCATAAAAATGTTCTACATATAATGTAGGACATTTTAATGTTTGTATGGCACCTTAAATTGAACATGCGGCAGGTCCAGCCCCAGTGCTGATAATCAGCTGATTGTCAGCCTCCACCCTGGACCTGCAGGCACTCAGTTTTTATTTTGCTGGTACAGGGGGAGCTTGGGATCAAAAAAGAGTTGAGACTGGGATCAGATCCCCAATCTCAAAAACACACCTCCCGCCATACACATGTGGCATGAGAGGAGGAACGATCATTGGGACTGGGGATTAGATCCTATGATACCTTTAAATAAATGTATGCCAGGAGCCATAGTGTCTCATATCTTTCTCTAGTGGCTGGCCCATCTAGTGGATGGAGTTACTCCTTCATTTTAAGTGGTAACAGTGTGACCTTTCCATGCTCAATATCGTGAATGAGATCAATCCTAGACGACAACTAATGGTAGTCATTGTTACCGAAGCAACCAAAGAATAGGGAGCAAAGACAACAAAAAAAACTAGATTTAGATTTCTGTCACATCGTTGTAATGATGAATCAAAAGAGTTACTTCCAGAAATACATGGTTTAAGTGATGGAAGAATTTGGCTGCTGCTGCCACTTTCACTTAACATCTTACCACTAACTAATAAATGACAGTTTTTCCTTAACTTTTCCAAAAGTGCTACAGCTAGCAAACAAGTTATATTACCTTGATGAAAATCTCCAGGAGCATACCATTGGTACAGCTGTCACTGAGATTACTGGTAAGCACTTTAATGAATATTATAGTGCTTCTACAGAGCCCTACACATGAAGAATAACTATTCATTTGCAGAACCACTGAAACAATAAATGCATTATATGCAACTGGAAAATATCTTGTTTAAAAACTATCAACTTGA